AGTCACCCAATTGGCCTTCATGGCTAAGGCGGGACTAGAACTCACTGTCGCCTAGTGATTGGCCCAGAGTCACCCAATTGGCCTTCATGGCTAAGGCAAGACTAGATCTTTGCCATTCTAGGGGCATTCTGGGGGACAAGATACTACCCCGAGGCTCACCAGCCAAGTCGAGGACAGTCCCTGCCACGTCATGGGTGCTCCCAGCTGGCCCCTGGTTGGTCAAGATGTAGCCATTGGCTGAGCTTGCCGAAGTCGTCACAACTCGGACCATTGTAACAGTGGGGGCTTGCTGCACCACGTGAACTGCGTGACCTGAAGGCTGCTGAGAGGTCATGATGGAGGCGGGCAAGTAGGCGACTGGTTTGGCCACCAGCGCAGAAGGCCTGGGAGGAACAGCCATGATCACCGGCTGGGCACTTACGGGAGATCCTGAAAAAGAGACGGAGGGGGAGGGAGAAAGGGAGTGGAAGAGGGAAAAGGGAGGAAGGGAAGAAGAAGAGACTCATCACGGGCCAGAACAGGAGATTGGAATCCAGCGTTCCTGAATAAAGTTAAAATAAATTTCGAGAACAACACACCACTAAAAACCAAGAACTGGTTTCTCCAAACTTGACGATTCACAACATTGTCCATTTGAAAAAGCTGGGGCTGTGATGACCCAAAGGGGCGTGGCACAAAGGCAACACAGTCACATAATCAAGAAGAGTCCCTTTATTATCTCCAACTTGGCCCCCAATGTCCAGGTTACCTTCGGGCTGGAGAAAAACTCTCCCAAGAACAGTCTTTAAGTGGAGGAAATTCAGTCCCAAAACAAAGTACATACAAACTTGTAACTAAAAATCCAAACAAACCAAGCTGCAGTAACCTGACAGGGCAGGAGAAGGAATTGCAGACTTGAAAGGCCAACAAAAGACACACAGTTGGGAAGTCGCCAGGAACCCAGATAAGCCTAGACGATACCATATAACTCACGATTGGCTTCCAACAACTTTGCTGTGCGTAGTTTTCCTTTTTCAACACTGTCTTCCTAGCTGCAGCTAATGAAGGGAATCAGGGCCCTTTCCTCCCCCGTAAGCCACACAACTCACGTTGCTCCCTTCTCCGTTCCTCCCTGTGTGCCCTAGGATGAAGAGGGGATGGGCCTGGGTCTTCCTCCAAATTCCCTCTCCCTTGCTCTGTCCACCTGGACTGTGCCTTTCCCCAGTTTCTTCCACAGCCAACAGAGCCACACTCCCACTCCCTGTCAGCTGCTTGGCCTCCCCCTCCGAATCAGATTACGACAGGGGCATGACAGGTGCCCTCCCTTGCTCACGATACTCTTTTGAGGTAATTTTCACACAGATACGCCTAACATTTGTTTGCTATCTTGAGCCCACATCCAGGAGTCTAACAGGGTGGCAAAAACTCTGGATAGAGCCTACCGCTTTACTAGAGGCTGTCAGCTGCCACTTTACGCTTGCTTGTGTGCCTCACTACCATGCGGTGACAGTCTGCTGTGAACTCTGGGGAAAGTAGATGGGAGAGGAATGCTTGGGGAAGGGGGAAAGCGAAAGTAACTTCTGTATCTTCCTGAGAGGCTGCTTCAAGGTCACCCAGCTGGGAGAAGGTGGCAGCTACATACCAACCTAGCTTGAAGTGGCGGTTCTGAAAATATCTTGCTTGAGCCTGATTGGTCATTGGAGGTAGGTGTGTGTGTGTGTGTGTGTGTGTGTGTGTGTGTGTGTTCTGTGACGGAAGGAAGGAAAAGGGAGGAAAAAGTTGAATAACTTTCGGCGTGTGATTCTCAGTTCCGGCTGCGCATTACCGCAACACTTCGAATAAAACACTACTTTTCTCAACCAATGGAGCCAAGGATCTTTTTTCTATGTAGAGGTTTAAGGGCTGGCAGGTCCAACAGAGGCACCTTCCTTACCAGGAGCACTTTGTGAATATCGATACTCGGGGACAGAAGCAAGCTTGGAACCAAAATCGTGGTCATGAGGAATCGGGGAGCCTTCCCTCGACACACACTCTGGAGTCTGTAGGCCACTCGTGTGGGGAGAAAGCAGGCCGGGGTGAGTAGGGGAGGCGGGCGCGCTCCTGGAAGAGAACCAAGAAAAAAACACAAATCAAAGCCAGCCTTCTTTGCAAATTCAGTGTATTTATTGTACAGTTTTGGATAAGCTAATTTTATTGTCTTTTTTTTTTTTTAACAGCCCACCTTAAATATGAAATTCTGTTGCTGCCCTCAAGAAAGTTAACATTTTATTTGAAGTTAACATTCTACGTCCGGCACTAACCTGGCGTAGCCAACTCTGAGATACGTAATTCACTGTCCCCCTTGATCCTGCTTTCCCCCCACCCCACCCTTCTGGGTGTATCATCTAACAAAACACGTCCATAGCCAAGAATCATCAATCATGCTCTCCAATTAGATTTTTGCAGGGCAGAAGCTTCAGTCATCTAATCAGCGTTTGAAGAAAATATGAATGGAATGTACTTTCGATTCCACACTGCCTCCTGCTCTTTGAAACTCCCCCCTCCTCTTTCTGTTGTCAACTATAAAACGTGTATACAAAATGTTTTATGAGTTGACAGAGTCTCTAGCCGAACTTCCAAAACTTAAAGAAGATTTATTAGGAGTAAACATGCCGGCACTGCCTGGGTGTAGCCGACTCTGAGGCACATCATTGTCACCCTTGACCCTGGCTTCCCACCCCCTGGGTGTATCATAATTCCTATTCTCCAATGGGACACATCCATAGCCAAGAGTCATCAATCATGCTATCCAGTTAGAATTTAGAGCACAGAAACTTCGGTCACTTAGAAACTATCTTTGAAAACATTTATGGAATGCAAGCTGCCCACTGCTGCCCCCCTCCCTTCTTGTTGGCAACTCTAAAAAGACCATAGAAATATTTTATGAGTTGACAAGCAACTAATTCAAATTTATGACAGTTGCGGTGTCCTGGGGTCGTGTGATCCCCTTTGGTGACCTTCGGACAAACCAAATCCACGGGGAAGCCAGATTCACTTAATGATGTCATTAACTGTAGTGATTCACTTAACAAATGGGGCGAGCAAAGTCATAAAACGGGGCACACCTCGCTTAACGAGTCGAGGACAGCCTATATTCCTCCCCACCTCTTCATTTTTACCAAACTGGGTAGCTAGTCCTTAGCAACCCACCTTACAACTTACCGACTTCACTTTCTCAACTGAGCAAAACGTAGCAAGCTCATTTTTTTCCTCTAATATTGGGGAGTTTTGCCCCGAATTTGGCTACGGACAGAAAACTGGAAATAATTATTGCTTCTATGGTTTGGTCTAAATTTCTATTTTTAACTTCTTCTTTTTTTTTTTTTAAATCATACTCTTGGCCAATTTTTCTGTAGTTAGGCAGTGGTGAGCATTGTTTTTTGGCTGTAACGTTGAGCTTACCGGGAAGAGAGAGGTCCAAACGGGGTTCGGAAGCAGGACACCCCCCTTTGCCTCCGTTTTCGGAATGCCTGCTCCACTAGCTTGCCTTCCGAGGGAGGGTCTATCCGCCAAAAGGACCCCTTTCCCGGCTCTTCTTGAGAACGGGGGACTTTAATAAAGTATCGGTTCAGGGACAGGTTGTGCCGAATGGAATTCTGCAGGAGGAAAACCGGTTAGTCGAGATTGAGCTGTGGTGGCGCAGTGGTCAGAGTGCAGTACTGCAGGCTACTTCTGCTAACTGCCAGCTGCCTGCAATTTGGCAGTTCGAATCTCACCAGGCTCCGAAGGAGTAGGAATGGATTTCCAGAGGGGGGGAAAAATTGCAGGCTACAGGAACCAGGAGCACTATTCAGGTGACCTTGAGCACACAGATAAACCCCCAAGTGGCCTCAACAACCTCTCTAAAAGAATGCAAATGACCAGCTTTCTGCAAGGAATATCAATCCTTCCATTCCCCCGTCCTGTCAGAACTGAAGAAGCTTCTTGGATGAGAAGCGAAACGTCGTCTTCAGAAGAAAAACAAGCAAGAAAACTTACCTGCCAACCTTTGTCTGCTGTCCTGTAATACGGATAATGCTTTGTAATGTGAGCATAGATGCCACTTAGTGTTAGTTGCTTGTCCTGAGCTGACGAGATAGCTTGAACAATGAGCTGGGCGTAGGAATACGGTGGTTTGGACTCGTCCTGTGGACCAGAAACACAAACACAAAAGGGAGTTTTTAGCAGCTTCGCAGGACATTAATAATTTAGGCCCCAGCTTGTCTAACAAGGTCAGAAGGCAACTAAACAGATGCTTTTCAAAGTAAAGGAAGGACTGAGGATTTAAATTTAGAATAACAGATTTGGAAGGGATCTTGGAGGTCTTCTAGTCCAACCCCCTGCTTAGGCAGGAAATCCTAGACCACTTCAGACAAATGGTAATCCAATCTCTTCTTTAAAAACTTCCAGTGTTGGAGCATAATACAACTTCTGGTGGCAAGTTGTTCCACTGATTGATTGTTCTAACTGTCAGAGAATTTCTCCTTAGTTCTAGGTTGCTTCTCTCCTTGATTCATATAGGACAGACTAGGGCAGGGTCGGGTGGATGGGGCCAACTAATCGCCGGAACTACCGGTTCACCCAAACCAGTCCAAACCGGCTGAGTCACAGCCTTGTAGCTAGCTGGTCCTCTCTCCCTCCTTCCTTCATCTTTTCTACAGCTCCTACTGGGGAAACAGCAGGAAGACAACCAGATCCCACCAACTTAAGCTTTCTCCAGGTCTCAAGATGGCCGCCTCTCTGCCTTGGTTATCTACCTATACCTCTTACCCTCCCGACCACTGACCCAGCTTTTGCACAAGGGATAGGGCAAGGAGTCTTCCAACCTTTGGGCTGTCTCCACCGGAGGCGTCCGTCTGCTGCTCCAAAGTAGCTTTTGCTGCGTATTCGGCAGCCAGTTGGAGGTCAGAGGTAACGTTGTGGGTAAAGCGATAACCTGAGGAACCAGCACCTCGAGGACTAGCCGGGCAGGAATTAGGGACACTGCGGGGAAGAAAGAGAGAATTGTTAGAGTTAACTCTGCTAATCATCACCTTTGTTTAACAAGCCCATAATCCCTTGCAGGGTGAAATCTGGGCAACTGAATGGAGCTAGCAAGAGTGTTTAATGGCTGGATGCTCTTCCTGTCGCCAATCCGGAGTTTTGTTCAGTAGATATATTCTCATTGTGCACACAGAGAGAAATATCTGCCTCTGCCTAGGATCGAACTCTCAGCTTTCTGACTGCGAGGCGAGAACTCCACCTCTAGGCCACAGCACCACTCCCATTGTTAACTCTGCTAATGTCGGGCGCACAAGATCAGGTCTAGCTTGGAGTTAAATCAGGGGAACAGAATTCAAGGAGGGTTGGACTTTCTTTGTGGCTACGAAAAGATTCTAGACTGATTCCTCTCTTGACTCCACTCCCAGGTTCTGCTGCTCCTTTCCCTACATTTAGCCCTTTGTCCAGCATGGAGAATGTGATGACAGTAACTCCAAAATGATCTGTTTCTTGTGCATTTGATTGGCTGGTGGATCAATATGATTCATACAGCTGCCATCTCACATAAGTGACGCAGGATGGCTTACAAGATTACAATGAACAAGCCCACTCAACACAGACCTCCCGGTGCCCAACGATCAATACTTTACACAACAATCAATACTTTACACACACAAAGAAATACTTTTACTTTACTTTGTCCTTCAAGTTATGACTATAATTGAGCCCAAAATTTATATTGCTGAGTGAGACATTTATTACGTGAATTTTGCTCCATTTTACGACTATTCTTGCTACAGTGGTTAAGTAAATATTGCATTTGTTAAGTTAGTAACAGGGTCGTTTTCGTGAATCTGGATTCCCCGTTGACTTCGCTTGTCTGAAGGTCGCAAAAGTGGACCACGTGACCCCAGGATGCTGCAACCATCATAAATATGAATCAATTGCCAAACCTCTGAATTTTGATCACGTAACTATGGGCTGCCGAATGAAATGGTCGTAAATGTAAAAAACGGTCATAAGTCACCTTTTTCAACGCTGTTGCAACTTTGAATGGTCACTAAATGAACTGTTGTAAGTTGAGGACTATCTCTTCTCATCTGACTAAGATATCTGCAGAAAAAGGCTGATGGTGAGTGAGGCCAACTGTTGATCCTTGGGAGCTGGGGACGTTTATATGTTGGGTGGGTTCCTCTGTTTTAATCTTGCAAGCCACCCAAGATTTACTTGTGCGAAACAGGCAGCTAAATAAATAAACCATATTCATAAATCAAACGCCGTTATTTTATTTATATAGTATATTTATATAGCTGTGCATCTCGCAAACCTGTGACCCAACAGCTGAAAACCTCCATAGCAAACTAAAAACAGTCAAAAATAAATAAAACAGACACATAAACAATCAACCCAGCAGACGAACCCGTCAACCATTAAACCGAATGAGAGAAGCAGGATTTATTTTGGATCCCGCAAAATAGCAGACAAGACCAAATTTTAAGAATTTCGCCTTTTAAGGATTCTGCCTAAAAATTGTTAACCGACTTTTCCACTGAAGGTTAACACACACCAGTGGTGGTATTCTACCGTTCAGCCCGGTTCGGCTAAACCAGTAGTAAAAATTGCTACCGTTTGGCAGAACCGGTAGTAAAAAAACAGCTACCGGTTCGGCCAAACCGGTATTTCTTTCTTTTTTCCCCTCCCGACGATCAGCTGTTCCGACGATCAGCTGTTCTGACAATCAGCTGTTCCAACATCCCCCTTGCTGTCTTAGGCTTCCCTAAGGCCCAGGAGGCAAAAAGAGGTACGTGTGTGTGGGGGGGGGGGGGGGGGGGTGCTGCAAAAAAGAAAAAAAGCCACACCCACCCAGTCACATGGCCACTCCCACCTAGACACGCCCACAGAAGCGGTAGTAAAAATATTTGCATCCCACCCCTGGCACACAGCTAATTCCAATAAAATAGATTAAAACCGCAAGGTACAATTGAAAACTGCAGATAAGGAACCTGTGGTTCTCCGGAAGTTTACTCAACTGGATTATTTCTAGCGAGGTCTTCTGTTTTTATACTGAATTACCGTCACATGATTTCATTAGGCTGAACAACAAATCAACCTGAAAGACAAACTTAGATGAACCTGCTAAAAAAGCTTAGGTCTTTGTAATGATTTGACCTGAGGTCCACTTCCTTCAAAGCTAATATCAGAAACCTACGAAGAGCCTTCTCCTTTGGTTTCCTTCCCATTTATAAGAGGATTTCTAAGAATTTCAGCATGACATGAGTGTAAGGGTCAACAATGATTCACCCAGCTCTAAAAACAAGGTAGTTTTATCCTTAACATTAAACAGTTTTCAGTTTGGAAGGCAAACTTCCAGACACCACTGCAAATCTGAATGGAAATGGTGGAATATTCCCTTTTCCTTCAGCATGAGGTTCTAGAATGTTCCTTTTCTGGATCGATGGAGTTTGCCCGTCCCCTAATGCAGGGGTCCCCAACCACCGGTCCACGGACCGGTACCGGTCCACGGAACAAGTCCTACCGGGCCGCTGGCTTGCTGGGCGCCGCCATCTTTTTTTGATGAAAAAGTGCTTCCGGTGAGCTTTTCCGGGTAGAAAGCTCACCGGAAGCACGTTTTCATCAAAAAAAGATGGCGCCAGCGCTTCCGGTTAGCTTTTCCGGGTAGAAAGCTCACCGGAAGCACGTTTTCATCAAAAAAAGATGGCGGCACCCAGCTGATGCCGGTACCGGGCCGCGGCGCCCAGCTGATGCCGGTACCGGGCCGCGGCGTAAAAAAGGTTGGGGATCACTGCCCTAATGGATGGAAATCGTTGCAATGGATGGAAACTCATCAAGGAGAGAAGCAACTTAGTACTAAGGAGATTGCATATGTCTCGTTTAGTGAAAAGAAGGACCAGGGGTGACATGATGGCAGTCTTCCAATATCTCAGAGCCTTCCAGAAAGAAGAGGAGGGTCAACCTATTGTCCAAAGCACCTGAAGGAAGAACAAGAAGCAACGGATGGAAACTAATCAAAAAGAGAAGCAATTTAGAATTATAGAGAAATTTCCTGACAGGGAAAACAAAATGAAAACAGTGGAACAACTGGCCTCCAGAAGTTGTGACTGCTCCAACACTGGAGGTTTTGAAGAAGAGATTGGACAACCATTTGTCCGAAATAAGCAAGGGGTTGGACTAGAAGACCTCCAAGGTCCCTTCCAACTCCCATTCCATCCATTCCATTCCAAGATTTTCTAGTTGCTTTTTGCTGTTTCTTGACCATTTCTGAGAAGCTGCATCTCAGTTACCTTAAAGGAAACTGGCAACCTCTGCTCCATCAACAAGGTTGCGTTGTTTTGGGTCAACAGAAAAATGACATTTTGCCTTTTTACCAGTACACTGGAGGCTTATTTCCAAAGAGTTGGCAGAGGTTAACAGAAACAACATACGATTTCTCTTTGGTTGATGTTTAACTCATTACCAGATGATCCTACCTCACAAAGGTAGATTTTTGTGTTTTCACAATAAACATTACAACTCAGTGGTTCCTTCTGAGAACACACTGGGAATCACAGCTTTTCATTTAAAATATAAATTATATATATATATATATATATATATATATATATATATATATATATATATATATATATATAAATATATATATATTATATATTATATATATATAAACACACAAACAGTACATCTGTGTTTCAAACATACATCTGATATTAAATCGCATTCAGACGACCATTTCTCATTCAAACAATCATCCTAAATCAATTTAAGTAACTCACTCTCTTTGAGTCAAGTGTTTACATTATTTATCCTCCATGCATTCTTCAAGTTTGCTTATTATACCACCAGGTCAATTTTTCATGTGATTTTGGATCCAAATGTAACTGCTTACCTATTAAAAACCAAATATATCTATTAGCTTCCAAGACTGGCCTGGGAGGGAACCACCTCTAAGATTATCTCAGTAGCATATTGCTTGTTTATGTCCTAAACTAGGGCTTGCTTAATCCTAGTTTGTCGAACAAACTACCACAATCTATCTTCACACAATGGTTTTTGGTCAATGCAAGAGCTCAGTTATTCTTCCTCATGATTGGCCCACAATAAATTGTGATCTATGGATTTTCAAAAACATTAACTCTCACCACTGCATTTTAAGTAATCTTACAAATTTGTAGCAGAGTTTAGATCTGTTGATGATTAAATTATCTTTATTGTTCTCCTGAAGTTAATGATTCAACCAAGCCTGAGGCGTAGCAGGACAATGTTTAACCAGTTCAACTGAGTAGATCTTTTCAGATAGGTTAAAAACAGATCTCAGATAGGTTAAAAACAGATTTTAAGACTTGTGGACTGGCTGGGGGATTCTGGGAGTTGAAGTCCACAAGTCTTAAAGTTGCCAAGGTTGGACACCCCTGGGTTACAAAGATGAAAATCCACAAGTCTTAAAAATTGCCAAGGTTGGGCACACTCTGTCTTAGAAGATGCAAATCTACATTTATGAGAAGCAGCCAAAGTTGTCAAGTTACAGTCTTTGCATTTTGTATGTTTCAATTTCTTGCTGATAAAATTACCAGGGATAAGGGCCACAAGAGGGCACTCACAGTTGCAAATCTAGAAGAAAACACATACTGCCAAAGAACAACACAGGGGAAAAAAAAAGAATAATTAATTGCTGCTTAAGCTCCTGCCTCTTTCAGGAAAACATGTTGTAGGAGGATTAAAAAGCAAGCAAGGCCAAGAATCTTGGTCAAGTTTGATCCGAGGGAGACCATCTTTCAAGAAAGCCAGACTGTAATTGCATGCAGGCTCAGAAAAACCATACTGCAAGTATTAGAAAGCCCATAGTGTGTGGCCCTCAAGGGTCAATCTCCACGGGATGGTCTAAAGAAGTCAAGAGGGTGTCAAGATGATGGCCATAATGACATCCGCCATCTTGACTTCTTCGATTAAGTGTTTCCTGCAGACATTCCTTCATGGAAGCTGTGTTT